TGACTCAAGTACCCCAAAATGTTATATTTGCAGTAGGTACATATCTCTATGCAAAAGGCAAGATTAGATTCTCAGTTGATTACAGCACTGGGTTATAAATAGAGTTATTTCAGAAGGTTTTCCTCTGTGTTGAGAATGTGTACATTTCATAGAAACAGTATAAAAACAGTCTGCAGGACAAACAGAAAGGCATGAATGACAAGCATTGATATCGCGAGTATGGATTATGCACGGCATGATATGAATCAAACGAATACATTGTGTTATGAATAACTGCATCGTTTTTTGTTTTTTTTTTAAAGTCACAGTACAATAAGGAACCCTTTTGAAATTATGAGTCTTCTCCAGCTACTTTCCTTTGGCCTTTTGATACATGCAAGAACCTTTTTTATCGATATTTATCAGCCTCACTGAGGAAATCGGGGTAAGTGACGGCAAAAATACACTTTTAAGGGGCGTCCGAACAAGACGTGGAGCGCTACACTCCCCTCCAGAAAAAAATGTGTTCACCCCCGCACGACACTGTCACTTCGGAGTTCGACCAAAAGCAGTGCAGTGTCTTTAGATATTGCTACAAATAGCTCGTATATAAGGCTTTTACGTTGCTCTGGCACATCCCGTACAGGTACAGTAGGCCACGACTGGACAGAAATGCAATGCATAAAACAAATTCTGTATTAAATCGAATAGAGACCAGTGTCAGCCTTGCATTCACATTTCTATGCATTTTGTGTAATATATAGCTTCTTCTCCACAGAGAAACACGTGGGTCACCAACACTTAAAGACCCATTTCCCTGCTCTTGAAAAAAGTAAAAAAAACAAAACAAACAAAAACAACAATCATGTCTTTCTGTTTTGGTATAGCTATGTCCATACAACCTATTTGAGTTGGTGGTTGAAGCTTTTATAGGCAGTCAGTGTTCATGTGCGCACATATACGAGATGTATACATGTAGATGCAGTAATCGGTGAATTAAGAGTGTACTAGAGAGAAAATCTCAGGTTCCTAGATCTTGCACAACAGATGGAGTCTCCATAACTTGCTCTTGACAACATCTGAAGAAATCTCACAAGAAATGGGCCTGCACCACGGAGGGGGTCGGACCCCTGACGGCAGCAGACACGTCGCCCGATAGAAGCCGGTACCAACCTACTTCTAGTTCCAGTTAACAACCTCCGTTCATGTTCGACTCTGCGCCGTGGTAACGTAATGTGGCGCCGAGACGTTTGTGGCCACAGGAATGAACTGGATAGAAACAACAGGCCATTTCAGTAGAAATCCACACAATCTAAGATGATAACATTCAGTGCTCCGAGAGCAAGGTTAGAACAAGGCAACTGAGGGTTTCAATGATTGACTGACTGATACGGTACCAAATACATACTTTAAACTGTCCCTTCTCTCCAGGTGTAAGTTCATATACCCAGACCTCCCTCATTTGTCGAAGTACTGCTTCCAAATGCAGCGGGACTGGCAGAGAGCTGCGGGTGGAACAAAGCCCTGGTCTCCTCCTCCTGAGGGTATGGCTGACCTCTAAACTGTCCTGAGGTGAAGTACCCCTCGCTGGGCTCGTGGCGCTCCCCTGTCCTCACCTCTGACTCCACCGTGACACTGATGGGCAGTAAACTGCTCTTGGTCTCTGCTCCTGTGCCCAATTCACAATCTGTGTCCTCAGGAATTATGGGTATTCTCTGGTTGAGTTCACAGCAGCCCTGTCCAGTGCAGGCCTCTGAGTCTGCATGTGCGTACTGCACATTAACAGCGTAGTCCTCAGTGTAGCACCCTGCTGTGGCCCTGTGGACCTTCATCTCTTTGTAGAAGCAGCAAGGAAGCCCTTCGTAGCTCACCTGCTCTGAAGGAGGGCACATGTGCTCAGGAGCAAAGTAGTTCTTGGAGGTGGAGCTCTGAAAGTCCACCCCCCTGTGACATCGTCCTGAGCCCAGAGGCCCAGCTTGGTCCGAGTCCTGCCCTTTGCACTCCACATTGGGAGGGAGCACCTCAAAGCAGCAGCTACAAGCTGCAGCCCCGATCTCCCCCGAATCCTCCTGTGCCCCTTTCCCCCTGTCTGCCCCGGTAGCTTCTGCAGCCCCGGCTGAGGTAGTGCTGGTGTTGTTCTCCCTGGGTTCCAGTGATGAGCGACTGCTGTAGTTGGGCTCCAAGCTGCAGTTGGAGAGATGGTCCCCCGAGTTATATCCCGACGCTCCGGGAGGGAGCTGGAGGCAGTCATGTCCCAAGGGAGCATGGGATGAGTCCTCTGCAGGAACAGCGGTGCAAGCTGCGGCCCCCGCTTCCCCTGCAGAGCCCCTGCACGGACTCTTACTCCGGTACACGTAAGGATCGTAGTCACTGCTCAGCGAGCTGCGGAAGGTGGAGCAGCTACCGTACACCCCCTGGTTGCTGACCTCAGTACAGTCCAACATGGAGTCGCTGGAGGAACAGTGGCACTGGCCTGAGCTGCTGCTGCTGCTGTCACTACCAGGGCAGTCGGCAAGGTAACCGCTGCACACCGAGCGGTGGCCATGGTAACAGCTCAGGCCAGAAGTGCTGCCGGCGTCACCTATCCTCGAAGAAGAAGCAGGAGCCATGTGTACCACTGTGGGGTAAAGCAGCCCCTGCTGAAAGGCCCTGCTGTGGTGGCCCTTGTGCGCCCCTGCTCCACCCAGGTGCCCTGCCCCCGCAGGCACCTGGCCAGCCTCGGGCTGTTGAGGGAAAGTCAACCCCTGAAAATAGTAGTGCTGGTACATAGTTTCGTATTGCGAGAAGCAGGCTGCTCGAGAAAAGTTGCGACCGTGGAACTTGGGTCGTTTAAAAGCAGTGTGATGCGGCTGTGCTGGGTAGGCTGGGGGTCCGCGGTGCTCTAATCCGCAGTGGTGGGGGTTGAATGAGTGGTCCAGGTGGAGGGTGGGGTGGTAGCTGCGGAGAAAGGCAGACGTGGACTGGGGTGGGTACAGACCCTGAGGATCTGGGTGCTGGTCCACGGTGAGCACTGTGATGGCGTTGCCGTGAGGGTCCATGCTGGTTCTGGTTGGATAGGCGGTCACCTGGCCTGCTCGGTGAACCCTGCCAGGATAGTGGACCGGCAGCACCACCCGTTGTCGGCCGTGCACCGGGTTGCCAGGATCCATGCACGCTGCACCTGGGTTTCCCTTCTTTTGCTCTGTGTAAGCAAATTATGAGAGATTCAGAATTTCGCAAATTAAAAACTTCATCCTTGATATTTTTTTTTTATCTTCACAGCAAAGCAAGTTGAGTGAGTTGTGGACTCACCGATGATGTTGTGTCGACAGTGGGGACAGGTGTGGTGCTGGAGCAGCCAGGGGTCGACGCACTTCTTATGAAATCTGTGCGCACAGGGAATAACCCGCAGCTCCTGCAGAGGAAAATACAACATCTTTAAGTTTTAACGCATCAACTGTAAAGTGCAAATATCAGTAAAAACAGCAACAAGAAGTTAAATCATGTGATTTGAATACATAATGAATATTATCTCCATCAAGGAGGTTATGTTTTTCGACTGCGTTTGTTAGTTTGTAAGCAGCATTCTGCAAAAACTACTTGATCGATTTCCGTGGAATTCTGCTGAATGTGTGAGACAAGACTCAAAGAAGATCCCATTAAGTTTTGGTGCATTCCCAAGAATTCTTTCCCTTTCCTTTACTAGGAAATGTTTTCATTGATTTCTTAGAGAATAATTCACAGATCTTGACGAAAAATGTCACATTTAAATTAGAACATCATAAAATATACATATTTCTAATAAAACAGACAGTGTCTCCTTATAGCAGGTAATTAAAATAATGGAAGCAGAAACACAATGAGATGTGAGTCAAGTGTCCAG